AACAAATGCACAGGGAAATGCATTGAAATAAGGACACAACAGAGATGGGGACTTGAGTTAGAGACTTGTAATGGAAATTTGTCCTTTAGTGAGTCTTCTGAAATAAAGAGTCCAACCCAGACATCTTTTAAGGGTTTTACTCTTTGCAAAGGGTCAGACAAACATACAGAGTGCAAAACAGTCTGCAGAGTGTAAGACCAAGAGCCAGTGAAGAAGCAGGTGACTTTATACTGTAAGGGTATTACGCAGCTATCCAAGGGAGGAAGGGAGTAGGGACCAGCTGTCCTGAGATGAAGGCCTATTAAGGACAGTCTGATAAGAAAACTCTCTAACAAGCATCTTTCCCATGGGAACCTTCACCTAGCTGTAACATAATAAAATAATCAAATACCACACAGTGAAACACTGGTCTATTCTGATGAAGCATGCAGGGTGAAACAGTAAACACAGTAAAATATCAAATTTCCATCACAGACTCAGACTCGAGGGCAACTTAAGTTGCGCACAGTGACTTGAGACTCGACGTGAGACTGAATAATAATGAAGTGAAATAATGTAAAGCTGTGACTAGATACTAGTGTTAGCAACAGTAAGCGCTAACCATTTGCATTAGCATTATCGATGTAACCTTGTTGTCTGTGCTAGCCCCTGTTAGCACTGTTAGCAGCTGTGCTGGTTTCAGTCTGAAATATTTGATAATTGCTAATTGTAGCATGGTTGTTGTAGGATTAAGGCCTGATACTGTTAAGCTGGTTAGCAGCTGTTTAGTCATTGTATTGTGTTTATAGTACACCCAGGGTGATGCAGCTATCCTGCAAAGGTATGTGTTAGCAGGGGGCTATGTTTAAAAATAATTGCACTATAAGATGAGAGAATAAATACCTGTTGAAACATGACCAGTGAGTCCGTGTCTTGTTTCACCTTTGTGCTGCTTGATAGCCATTTCTCCAGAGCGACCTAGACTTCTGAGACGCTGGCCTGTATGTTTATTCTTATATACTTATTTGTATTATCGGTAGGTTATTTAATTAGTTCTGGTTGTTACACAATACTATGCAGTAATACATATTATACAGTACAATACTGTAATGTTGAAATAGTTATTAGATAGTTGCAACCTGTTCTCATTTCTGAAGGTTTGAATTATGGACACCACTGTAAAGCGACTCAAGTTGGGCAGGACTCTCAGTCGAGCTTCTCTCATTGTCAACCGGTGGTTAATCACATGGTCAATAAGTGTAGCCCTGATCTCATCAGAGATAGCTTCCTTCCTTCTCTTCTTTGACCTCGTCCTGTTCTTCCAACTCTTCCTCCTTGAACTCGTTGTCATCCCTTGCCTCTCCCTCCTGCTCCCCTTGCTCTCTGTACATTGTTGGCATCCAATGTTCAAAACAGGTAATCTGACCTTTTGACCAGTGAATGGTAAGTGATCAGTTAAGCAATTAGTCCCAGAGGAAAAATCTTTTTCTCAGAATAGTCTTTTCTTTAACTCTTGAGAAAACACTAAGATCTCAATAGTGTATCTTTTTGAGATCACTCCAATCTGAATTGTTGCTCCTAAAACCCCTTAGGAGAAAAGGATGAGATGAAGTGAGATTGAGGTTTTGAGATTTAGGTAAGACAAATGGATACTGAATTGAGATTACAATAGGATAAATGGAAGTAACAGATGAGATCTCATCATTGTGTCTTTTGAGTTCATTAATGTCTTGCTTATTGCTCCTAAAAAGCAGTTGGGAGCTGTTTGTTACATTACTGTCTGTGCTTGGACAACTGTTCTTGAGGCTTGCCCTGAATTGCATTTGAACCCCGCTTCTGCTGTTCAAAGGGCAACCACACTGCCGCTGCGCCATCCAGCTAAAATTAACAATGAAGGACTGATTGTCTTTAAATAGAGTACAATTTTTCTTTACTTAAAAAAGGAGAAATACCATCCATTGTCAACCGCTTATCCTGCGCACAGGGTCGCGGGGGGCTGGAGCCAATCCCAGCTGACATCGGGCGAAAGGCGGGGTACACCCTGAACAGGTCACCAGTCCATCACATAAACAAACAACCACTCATGTCCACACTCACACCCAAGGACCAATCAACCTAGGACGCATGTTTTTGGATGGTGGGAGGAAGCCGGAGCACCCGAAGAGAACCCACACAGACACGGGGAGAACATGCAAACTCCACACAAAAAGGCCAGTACAACTGGGGTTTGAACCCACTACCTTCTTGCTATGAGGCAACAGTGCTAACCTCTGCACCACCGTGCCACCAGGAGAAACATCATATCCACAATTAAAGTCATCAAAATTCTCAAGTAAAAGGTATTAAAGTATTCCATAGTGAATGTACTTAAGTTGCAAAAGTAAAAGTGCTTATTCTGTATGACAGATACATGTTGTATCTCAGTTCTTGCGTGCATTCGGTCCTTAATGAATTAATGACTGAACGTCATGTCAAAGTATTGGGTTTTCTAGTTATTCTGGCTGTGACTACCATAACAAACTGGAAAACATGAAATTTGAAAGTGCATTATTTTCAATGTCAAATGTATTTTATTATTCTCAGTAACTTGTAACAGATAATTAACAATAAATACAATAAGGATTGGAAATAAAGGGGAGTAAAAGTACAAACCCCCATAAAAAGAAAATACTCAACCTCAACATTTGACGTAAGTAAAGTACTAAAGTAAAATAACCCCTAAGTGGGGTCACTAAAATATATCTTGGAGCTTTTTTTCTGATCCACATTCTGGAGACGTAAATTACACTTATTTAAGATACTGTAGAGATCTCATCTTTTGATCAGAGTAAGACAGAGATGAGTTTTTGCTCCTGAGGCCAATATGAGAAAACTGAGACATATTTGAGAAGAATCGTGAAATCCCAGAAGTTATAGCTGAGTTTTCTTTGAGCTCTTTCTCTGATCTCATGGTCAAATGTTCAGGAGACATAAATTAGACTTATTGAAGATTAGTTAGAGATCTCTTGTTTTGATCAGAGTCAGACATAAATTAGGTTTTATATGGTTGTTTCTCCTGAGATGAATTTGAGAAATGGGAGAAAAGGCCTTTGGTCTCAACTTGGTATTATAAGCAGCTCATTTGTGTCTAGGAGAAAAGAAGGAAACAACTATGACATCTCATCTTGGATTTTGCTTTCCTATGGGGTGTTTGCACATGTGAGGAGTGGGTGTGTGACCTGGTGAGAAAGTGCAGCATTTGGTTGGTTGTGTTTGGAACAGGAAAGAAAGTCACTTCCTGTTAAATTTTTGTGTCTTGGATAGAGAATTGTTTTAAGTGTTTTGAAAAAAGCGTTTTTTGCAATTGCAAACGGAGTGAAAGGCTGAGAAATAGCTTATGGTTTTGAAGATTTGGTGTGGAATGGGAGGTTTCAAAAATCATGTGACATGTTAGATTTGTGTGTAAGCAGATGTTAAAAACCCGAAACCAATGTAGTACCCAGTTACATCTGCACCAGTGTGTTCACTATTCTCTGCAAAATGATACTGAACCTCAAATTGCCCCCGATGGCTTTTCCATTGGTGTATGAATATGTGTGAATGTTAGTTTACATTTGAGCACTTAGGCACAGTGTATGAATGGGTAAATTTGATGTAGTATAAAAGCGCTTTGAGTGGTCTCAAAGGCTAGAAAGGCATTTACATTTGTTTGTTTGATGTATTTTATTGTCTTTGCTCTTGAGCAAGCACTTTGTACCAAGTTTTTTAAAAGTGCTCTAAAAATAAAGATTAATATTATAAAGATGTTGGCTGTACAGCATAGCAAAAGGAAAACTGCAGAGGGTTATAAGGTCAGTTGAAAAGACAACTGACTGCCCTCTACCCTCCCTAGATGATATCACCAGCTTTTGTTGCCTCTCCAGAACAAAAAAGATCATTCATGGCATCCACACCAGAAAACACCTTAAGTTGTGACACTTTCTGTCTGTGCAATGACAAAAAAGGTTATTTTATCTTATTCTAGGTAGATATTGCTTAATAACGTGATGACTCAAATCTGCTTGTGCTACTACAATGCTATGCTTTATCTTGATGTTACACTGACTTACTTGACATCGTTGCTTTAACACAATTCTGTGACATGACACATTTGACTGGTGTTTTGAATGATATTGGTTTCAAGGATATGTCTCTTTTTCCCCAGCAGTAGTAGCAGTTTAACAAAACAAAAATGTATTTTGGATTTCCTAAGGCTGTTTGGTAGGTAGAATGATAAGTCACAGTTTAGTATATTTTTACTATTCTTGGGGAGATGTAAGCACTGTTGATGGACAGTTTGTAAGGACTGAAGATGATGCCCACCATAATACTAGCCCATAGTTTTTGTTCTCTTACTTTAAGTTATTGATGAAGAGAGAGGGGTCAGGTGGATAGTGCTGTTGCCTCACAGCAAGAAGGTCACGGGTTCAAATCCTGGTTACCCCGTCCATTCTGTGTGGAGTTAGCATGTTCTTCCCATGTCTGTGTGGGTTCTCTTCAGGTGCTTTGGTTTGCTCCCACTGTCCAAAGACATGCAGCCTAGGTTATCCCTTCCTCACTAGTTCCCTTTTGTCTGTCCTAGTTAGTTTTGACTGTAAGCGTTCCAGCATTCTGTTCTTTGTATTTCCTAGTGATAATTTTTGTTTGTACCTCGACTGCCTTTTTGCCCTGTGATTTGCTGTTTGGAGTTTATTTACAGTGCTGAATCTAAGGTCATTAAGAACAACACATATCTAATACTTCTCTGGCAGTATTCAACAGCCATACCTAATCCTTTAAATAACAATCTCATTGCCAAAGGGGAATAATGCGCTGCTCCCTGTTCTCTCTTTCTGAACAAACCTGTTTCACTGACACAACAAAGGCTGAGACTGGCTGGTAAGACACTCTTCGAAAATTTAAAGATATGAAATCACACCATCATTGGCGTTTTATTAAACCTACTGGCAATAAACATGCCCTGATACACTTTAACCACCAAAATTACAAAACACACAAGACAATTTAAACTCTTGAAAGATTTTGTATTCTGATCATTGCAACGTTTCTGAAAGAAATTTTACAAATTGTAGAAACTACAAGAAGTCTCACAGAACATGCATGATTATATAAATAATAAAATTGAGTGCATTGGTTTGACATACCATGACCCTGTTGCTGCACTGTGTTATGCTGCTATGTTAGCAAGTGAAACCTAAACTGAATTATACATGCTATTGGAAACTACAGACATTTTACATTAAAGTAAAACAAAATTTTTAATAATGTTTGCTTATAAAATTTAAAACCTTGATAAACAGTCCAGTTTGAAATCTAACATTCAGATTTCTCAATTTGCATGTTCTTAGACTTTTACAAGCAACAAAGTCCCTCTTTTAGTAGCTGACACAAAGTTAATAACACAGTGCTCAGAAAAGCAAGACAAACTGACATTACAATTTACAGAAATAGTAAAATAGTGACATTATTTAGTGACATTGCAGTGATTTAGAGAAAGAAAGTTTTGTTTAGCTTATACTCTAATGATCTACAAGACCGAAGACAATCATAAACGTTGGATTTTTACTGTCGACAAAGTCCTTTTTCATACCAGTAATGGCAGTCATGTTCTGATGGCAATTCAAATAGAAATTAATACTGATGCTATCGCTGACTTGACAGAATCCATGACAACAGTACCAGGCAGGATGCGGTAATGAAACTGATCTTGTGGCTTACTCCACTTGATGCTGTATATGAGGAGAAAATGAAACAACACATTAGTTTAATAAACTGTTTTTGAAATTTGAGAGTTTTTTTAAATTTGGAAGAAGCACACAATATAGCTTACGTGTGCCATTCACGTTGATTGAGCTGCCTTCAATGTCAAAGCCGGTGACGGTTGAAGCAGCACTGATCAAAACACTTGCAATCTGAGTGTTATTAGGAACAAATGTGCTTGCAAAGCGAACATTCATTTCGTTGATGATTGAGCCATTTCTGCAGAATAAGAAATGTAAAGTATTTTTTAAAATATCAGACTTAGGCCACTCCTCTTAAATTGTAACACCTAAGAAATTACCTGAATGACACCACGTCCAAGGAGTTGAAGGAGGAAGGGAAAGCCCTTTGGAACACAGGTTCAAGCTGCAGAAACAGAAAACAAATTGTACTTAAACACTTTTCACTTTCATGTTTGCCTCACTAAAAATGGCCTAAAATTTCACTTTAAATTTAAAATGGCCGACTTCCTTTTGGGTTTAGAGTATGGAGCCAAAAGGCATTTATGTGTGTCTTGTGATGATACATGTGCCACTAATATTTCGTACGTCTAGGTCAAACAAATTGGGGGCTCATTCGTTGAAATATTTTAGGGTAGTTTAGAGTTTATTTACAGTGCTGAATCTAAGGTCATTAAGAACAACAAATCTCTAATACTGTCTGTCAGTTTCCAACAGCCATACCTAATCCTTTAAATAACAATCTCATTGCCAAAGGGAATAATGCGCTGCTCCCTGTTCTCTCTTTCTGAACAAACCTGTTTCACTGACACAACAAAGGCTGAGACTGGCTGGTAAGACACTCTTTGAAAATGTAATGATATGAAATCACACCATCATTGGCGTTTTATTAAACCTACTGGCAATAAACATGCTCTGATACACTTTAACCACCAAAATTACAAAACACACAAGACAATTTAAACTCTTGAAAGATTTTGTATTCTGATCATTGCAACGTTTCTGAAAGAAATTGTACAAATTGTAGAAACTACAAGAAGTCTCACAGAACATGCATGATTATATAAATAATAAAATTGAGTGCATTGGTTTGACATACCATGACCCTGTTGCTGCACTGTGTTATGCTGCTATGTTAGCAAGTGAAACCTAAACCGAATTCTACATGCTTTTGGACACTACTACTTGAAGTATTTTAGGGGGCACTATGGAGCCATTTCCATACTCCTATTCACGAGCAGGGTTGGGTATCGAAACACCGTGCCAATATGGAACTGGTTCCTATACGACCGGTACCTACCAGGCTGAATTACAACGCAATCTTTGTAACCTCATTTGGGTGCCACTTAAATGTGTCAAATGGTGCTCCGAAACTGATGTGAGAAGCGTTGCCTCCATTTACTGCAGTACCAAATTGTAGCGTCCCCTAATGAAAGGCTACGAGACGACAGACGGTTTTGCTCAGTACTAATTAATGCTGCAAAAAAACAGGCAACTGTGAGCCGCAGCCTACACTGAAGAAACAAACCTGGCTCAACAGCCAGCTACATCTCCTCTTCACCCTCTCTGTCCCAAGGCTAACACATGATCCTGTGCCAGCAGGAACAACAACAACCGCACCCCATAGCTCTCTGCCAATCACATGTAGGAAAATAAATGATTGATAAGCTTCTACACATGTCACATTTGTTGACAGCCATGACACATTCTCTGACCTCCTGGAAACACTGTACATTTTTGCCACTTTTGATGTGTGCAAAATTATTTAAGCACGTTTGGTGCT